ATACTTTCAATGGCTACAGTAGACTTCCTGCTGGGATTCTTCATCATGCCTTGCAGTATGGTGCGCTCCGTTGAGAACTGCTGGTATTTTGGGGAACTCTTCTGCAAGATCCACACGAGCATGGACATTATGCTGAGCACAGCTTCTATTTTCCACCTTTCCTTCATATCCATTGACCGTTACTATGCTGTGTGTGATCCTTTAAGATACAAATCCAAGATAAATACTTTTGTTATTGTGGTCATGGTGTTCATAAGTTGGACAGTCCCTGCTGCTTTTGCTTTTGGGATGATCTTTCTAGACCTGAACTTGAGAGGGGTAGAAAAGATTTATAATCATGTCCATTGTGCAGGAGGATGCCTTCTCATTTTTAGTGAAACTTCAGGTATTGTGGCCTCTGTAGTATCTTTTTACATCCCTGGATTTGTTATGCTGTACATCTATAGGAAAATATACTCTGTAGCCAAGAAGCAGGCAAGATCCATTGATGCAATTAGCAAAAAAAAGGTGCAATTTGAAATGAAGAATCACATTTCATTCTGCAAAGAAGGGAAAGCTGCTAAGACATTAGGCATAATAATGGGAGTGTTTCTCATCTGCTGGACTCCATTCTTCTTCTTTACAGCTACCAATCCATTTATGAATTATGTGATACCTCCTATTCTCATCGATGCTCTGGTTTGGTTTGGCTATTTAAATTCTACATTTAACCCAATTGTTTATGCATTTTTTTACATGTGGTTTCGCAGGGCATTAAAAATTATTCTGTTCGGAAAAATTTTTCAACAGGACTCTTCCAGGTCTCATTTGTTTTTAGACTAACATGCTTTAAATGGTTGCATTCATGGCTTAGAACTTTTACCTGGAGGCTGAATTCCTGAGTGTAAGATCTGAAAAGGAAGGAAACACCTATTTGTTTACCCATTTACCAAATCCAATTCAAGCAGATAAGCAATTGTGCTTTACATCTTATTTCATTCCAGATTGGGATTTGTATGTGATGTTTTGATTAGATCTATTTGTTTTCAATGTGCAGAAGAGCAAGACTTATGCTTAAAAAAACTTACAACACTTTACATACCTGATCTTAATCATTAAAAAACTATTCTGATACAACAGATTAATTTCTTGAACAAGGTGATTTATATTACAATATTTGTGTTTATTTGTTGTGCTCTAGAAAGAATGGAAAAACCTTTTCCTTTGAATTTCTTTACATCTTTGAGCAATTACCCAAAGCCTGATAAGTTTTTTCCCTCCTCTTCAATATTTGTGCAGAGTTCTAAACAGACCAATAACCAGCCATACCAGCACACTCAATGGAGGGAAGATGAGACAGAGAAAAATTGTGCTGTTCTATCTATTTTCATTTCAACTAGTGCTTGTCACTTATGAATTTGTCACTTAAAGGCTTTGCTGCTTAATGAGATCAAAAGCATGTTTAACGAGATCAAAGACAAGGAAAAATATGATGTACGAAATGAAAAGCAATTGCAAAAAAGCTGCATTGAACCTGAGAATGCCAGAAAATTATATTTATCTAATGAATGTTTAGATGTAAAATATTTGCCAATTCTCGTGTCAGGGAACTTTTTTTAGCTTGGAGATATTGTTATTTTGTCTGATGGCAATGCTGTGACAGCTTTTGAGGAAAGCATATAGAGAATTGTGAAGAAATCTTGTGGTTGAAATCAGTTGGATTATGAAGGACCAGTAGTGGCAATGGACAGGAAAGGATTAGTATCTGAGAAGCAACCATGGAGAGAAATTGGTGACTGTACTGAAGTAAGAACTACATTCAGCAGTATGCCCTTCGTTTATGTTCATCGTATAAGTGCACATCATATGTGTATCTTGTCTTTATTTTCTATAATTTGTAGAGCACTGAAACACTCTATGCTGTGAAGCATAAAAGTTGAATGATGATACGTTTCTGCAGCATGAAATATCGGGATCTGAGATTGTCTCTCTTACTGTCTCATTGCCATCTTGTAAAGTTTGTACTCTCCAAAATGACATAAAAAGGAACAAAAATAAAGTAAGATGAAATAAAAAAAAAAATCTATCTTTCTGATAAATAATGGGTAATTCTCTTCTTCATTCATCTCCAGTGAGTCTGGCCTGATGCAGTAATTTTCTCATGCTCAGTGTTACCTTCTGAAATAAAAGTTCAGCACATATTGACATAGTCCCTTCAGGAAGTCAATGAAGTCGTTTCTTTCCCTTCATCCGTTGTCTTTCTCCCTGAAAATCTGGAAACATTACTGTGTTTCCAGAGAATTCCAGCTCTACCAGAGTTCACAACTGATCATGCTATCACTTATTCTGGCATCTCTCTGGCATTTTTTTGTGCTTGTAGGAGAAGTTTGAAAGTGAACGCTATCCCAACTTGCTTGTGGGATAGACGGTAGTTCAAATGGAGCATGTCTCTGCAGTCTGTACCTAGACCCCAGTGCAAAGCTAATTAGAAAACCATAGAAACCAGAACCACACTCCTGAAGGCATAAAAATTGTGGGTTAGATAAAGACAATTTAATAGGCAAAGCAAATTAAGGAATTCATCACTACTTCCTATCTGCAAGCACATCTTCAGCCATTTTGAGGAAAGCAGGGTTGGTTACTTGGGAAGACAAACACTCTAACTCTCAACATCCCAGTTCCTCCTTCTCCTAAGGTTTTATTGCTGAGCATAACATCATATGGTGTGGAGTATCTCTTTGGTCAGCTGGGGTCCCAACCTCTTGTGCACCCCCAGGCTATGCGCAGAGAAGACCTTAGGACTGTGTAAGCAGTGCTCAGTCTTAACTAAAATGGGAGTTGCATGTGTGTTTATCAACACTGTTTTTCATCATAAATCCCAAACATAACACCAAACAAACTACTATAAATAAAATTAACTGTATCTCAGCCAAAACCAGTAAAGAAGGCATCCAAACGTTGTGACTGCACAAGATCACCACAATCTACTGAGTGTAAATGGAAATAGTAGAAGAAATTTTTAGTGTATCAACAACTCTCTGGCAAGCTAGTCTAGCCAAGATGTAACCAACATTTATTCTCTGCAGAATTGAGAAGGAGTTTCCACACACAGATTGCTGGTGACCTTCATCTATAGCTAGAAGACAGGACTCCTTGCTCTTAATAACCTACAACATTAGCCAGATTTGTGCACAGCCCAGCTCAGAAAGTTTCAGAAATAACTTTTTCCTCTAGTGTCCTATTACCTAAAAGTGGCACTTTCCCAAAGAGCCTCCTTGCTTTCTATTTACAGAGAACCTTCTCTAGCAGAGGGACTGTAATGAAGTCCCTGGTTACTTTGTCTCATTAGCTCTAATCGCAGACAGCACAAAGCTATTTCTCACTATAAGGGGGACGGACAAATGAAATATATTAATGAGGCCACAGGGACTCTCTTTGGACCCAAGACATGGATAAATAAGGACAGCACAAGAAAAATGCTTCTTGCTGCTGTCCAATCAGACTATGAGTTAGGTCTGGTGAAACAGAATACACTGTATTGGGATTTCAAAGTATCATAATGCAAATGATGCGCAAATGATATTGTTAAATTCCTTATCAACACATTTAATTAGCGATCTTATTAAACAATTCCCAGCTGGCTACTTTTTGCAAAACAAATTATTCCCCCATGGGTGATTTCATATGTCTTAACTTCCCTGAAAACTTGCACAAAGCAATTACTCCAGCATGATGAAAGTCTCTGATTCACCAATAAACTTCTGTCTGTTCATTTTGCCACCAGTGAGCACCGTTTGCAATGTCACCTTCCTCTCATGCTTTGTACAAAACTGACAGCAAATTTCAGAGTCCTGAACTGCTGCCTGTATCCTGCCTTAGTCCCTGTAACTCATGTCTTGGTGGACTACATCATGCATGGTGGTGCCATCTGTGTCCAAATCTCATAGCCTCTCAGGTATCAGATGCAGGAGGACAGGGAAAGAGGAGGAACACCAAGAAAGTCCCTTCTAGAAACCTCACAGAGAAATCATCACTCTAAAATGGGAGTATTTGAAACTGCTAGATAAAAAAAAAATACATGTTCAAATGGAAAAAATGAGCTCTCAAAATCTATAAATATTGCAAAGTGTATGGCTTTCTTTAAATCATTAACTCATCTATGTCATGCACACTGTTCACTCTCTGTCCTCTACAGTGCATTAATACCCATTCAACAAGAGGGAAAATACTGGACATAATCAAACGTAAAGACACAATGTTCTACAAAAGTCTTCTGCACATTTTCTACCCATCTTCATTATCTACTACTTCCACGCTACTGCACTGAAAGACTTGATTTGGAAAAAGACTATGTCTACCTGTAAGCACTTTTTGACTAGTCTGTTTCCATTAGACAAATTATAAAGTTTATAAACTTCTATGATGAAATGACTGGCCTGATAGACAAGAGGAGAGCAGTGGTTATTGTCTACCTAGACTTCAGTAGGGTTTTTAACACTGTCTCTCATAAGATTTTCACAAAGAATGTAATGAAGTATGGGGCTGGATGAGAAGACTATGAAGTAGATTGAAAACGTGCTGAATGGAGCAGACTGAAAACTGGCTGGGCCCCTAGGGTGCTGCTGATCATTGGCAAAAGGTCTAGTTGGAGCCCAACAACTAATGGTGTGCCCTAAGGTCAATACTCAGTCCAATCCTCTTCAACACCTTCATTAATGATCTGGATGATGGGGCAGAACGTACCTTTTCAACTTGAACCATTCCATGATTCTGTGATTCTATGATATTTTATTCCTTTAATGTTTACTGTCTTGCATAATTTTAAATGGTCTTGCATAACCAGCTACATTAAATTTCCTACTTTGTAGGATTTTTAATAAGTTCTTTTCCTCTTCATGCTGCACCTTAAATCCAACCAGCTGCATGGGTAATTGAAAATGTTTCTATGAACTGATTATGCAACAGCGTTTGTAAAACAGATTAATTTCTTAAGAGACCCGATCCACAGCATAACTTAGACAATGAGAACTCCACAGCCCACTCCTGAATGTATCGACTTCTTATTTCCCATAGGTATAGGAAAAGTAATTTTCCTCCAACACCGAGTACTCATAGCATATTGACTAAAAGGTACCTGTCAGTTAGAGAGGGATTGTTGAAAACAGAGCGCATCCTATACCCTTTGGACTTTCTCAGTTACCAACAGGATCACACAATTCATTGAGAAAGCTTGAGTTTGTCTTTTGCTGTCTATTGTTGTTTTATCAAAGGAAGCCCAGAGTAATAAAAGCAGTTAGTAATAAGTAACCAAATAGTTCTCTTCAATTAATATTTAAGCTTATCATGGAAATGATGAGGTACAACATGACTTGTCACATGACTAAGTCACCAAAAGAGCTCCCCTATATGTGAGGGTAGATAATTAATAGAACAAATAAAAATAATGGTGTTGTAAATACAGGCACTTGGCTTTGTTTATTTCCAGTTGATGTAAACCCCTAAATTGCATACATATGTTTAGCTCAAAATCTACTGGGAATTAAATGTAATATCATAAAAGAAAAATAAATTCCCACTTTTCATGAATCAGAGCCAAGTTACAGAGGGGATCTGCCTGTTACTGAGATTGCAATTTTGCAGGACAATAACAGAACAGAAAAATGTCTACTTTGAGAATTTGTTTATGGTACAATTAAAAAAGAGATGGAGGGAGGATTAGCCTATAAGACTGACTGCCAAGATCTATTTTTAATCTTTTGATGTACAATCTCTGTATTTTCCTCATTGTCGGGTGATACCTATTGGAAAAAAGATCAGTAGACTTAGCTGCTCCTCATATTCCTTTTAAGTGGGTTAAATTGCTGTGGAGAAAGTATCTCCTTCTGCTCCTATTTCTAAATTTGCTGTTAGTCCAAAACAAATTATCAGGAAAAGAGGTGGAAGAAATTGATCTGGTTCTTCCCAGATAAAGGAAGAGAATTTTTTGCCCCTTGGAACTGTTCACTAGTGTATTCATTTATAACTACTGCACCTGGACTGCAGTGCAGTACAGGAGACAAGCCTCAGCCTGCCTCCACACCCTTTTTGGTGGTGGAATTATAATGATAGAAGACAAGTATATATATAGGGAAAGAAAAGAATATTGCTTATCATAGCAGTTTTACAACTGATTTCCATGAGATGTGTTCATTGCTAGTGCTTTATAATGCACAGCAGGTGAGTTTATCATCATAAATAACTTGGAAAGTGGGGGTTTGGCAACTGATTTGTGTCTCTTAAGATGATCATTTAGGTGAGTAGCTCATTAACTGAAATCTTCAAGAAAGCTAAAGTATGACAGTTTGCATACCATTTCTCCTATAGAAAAAATATGAATATTCTAAGATTAAGGAGACATATAAATGTTACATAATATTTTCAGATTGAAGTGACTTGGGAGGTTTCTTTGTCCATGCACGTTTTTCTTCTATCAATTTAAATTTACTAATATTACGATTTATATAAAATACAAGAACAATATTTTACAAAATGCTCCAGATACAAAATAAGATTTATATTATCATATAATTTATTGATTTAAGAGGTAATTAAGTTTACTTTCAACTGCCTTGTTTTAAATATTACTTGCAATTAATTTTATAATGGCTTCCAGTTACTAGATTTCAGGTACCATTTCAGAAGAATAATTGGTAGTAGTTAGTCCCTATTTAAGGCGAGAGAAAATTCCCCTCTGAATTACTGCATTTCACATAGTAATTGAGTTCATAGTCTTGACTTATTTTATCTTGTATTCTCATGTTAGGATTTGGAATCTTTTGGAAACTCATGAGAATTAAATCTGCTGATGGAACTGCATCTCTAAAAGAAAAGTCTAATAAAGGATTGATTATGCTTTCTCCGAATATCTTGAGGCATTTGACTGATTGCTCTGAGTTTGGAAACAGATCTTGTCCGGAGAGCTTTAGATCAGCAGGAGTATGAGAGGCACTATATCTATTTGTAACTGCAGTCCTCATTCTCACCATCTTGGGGAATTTGACCATAATAAATTCCATCTCATATTTCAAGCAGCTTCATTCTCCGACCAGTTTCCTCATCTTATCCATGGCTGGCACAGATTTCCTGCTGGGCTTTGCCATTATGCCCTACAGCATGGTGAGGTCTATAGAGAAATGCTGGTTTTTTGGAATAATATTCTGCAAAGTTCATTACAGTTTTGACTTGATGCTCTGTTTAGCTTCCATTTTCCATCTTTGTTCCATTGCCATTGATAGGTTTTATGCAATCCGCCATCCTCTGCATTACACCAGCACCATGACTGTCACAACCATAAAACAAATTGTAGCAGTCTGCTGGTCAGTGCCTGCTGCTTTTGCTTTTGGTGTGGTTTTCTCGGAAGTTTATGCTTCTGAAATTGAGGGCTATGAAAAGCTAGTTAAATGCTTGTGCCCTATTGTGTTCAACAAACTGTGGAGAGCTTTTCCATTTACAGTTGGTTTCTTTGCTCCTGCTTGCATTATGATAGGAATTTATGTTAAAATTTTTACAGTCTCCCAAAGGCACACATGGGAGTTGAGCCAGACACACAGGCACTCAAAAATTGATAAGAAACATGAGCTTTCTAAGAATAAAGATAGGAAAGCTGCTAAGGCTTTGAGTATTGTTATTCTGGGTTTCTGAATATGTTAGTTTCCTCATTTTTTGGAATCTTAATTGATCCATTCTTAAATGTCTCTGTTCCTGTATCTCTGTTCGATTCTGTAAACTGGCTTGGGTATTTAAATTCTTTCTGCAATACATTAATATATGGATTTTTCTATCCATGGTTTCGGAAAACATTTCTTAAAAGGTAAAATATTTAACCAGCATTTTCATACAATAAAACTTTTATCTGAAGATCAGTCACAGTAACAGATTCTATTAGTGACAGTAGCTCTAGAAATGAAGAAACAGTGGCTTACTGGATATTCATGGTTCAGTAAAAGCCTGAAATGTATAACATGAATTTTATGAGTCAGTTCTGTAAAATTCTCTCTAATAAATCATTTATTACCTCTAACCTATCATTTCTGTTGAATTTTCTCTAATAAATCAGACTAATTTTATATGATATTTATTTATCACTTGTTTTCACTCTTAATGCCTTGATAGTGTTTTGGAAGTATGAGTCTTTCTAGAAACCCTTAATGCATTGATATGGGTTTTTTAATTTCAGAAATTGTTTACATGCGGCCCATAAACTCAGTATTTCACTTCATCTTGTATGCGTGCAGCTAATCTTTTTAGGGTTCACCATTAATAATCCTAAACTGAATACATCCAGGCTCATACTGGTCTTTGTCACTCCTTTGTAAAGGGGACAGATGTATAGAGTTTACTGTTATTCCCAAGCAAATAGAATGGGAGTGTAATTTTGGCTTGAAGTTGACCTTTTCCTGAAAATAATAGAATCAAGTTTTCAACCCTTATTTCTTGTGCACTTCATACTTGGGAAGGAGTACGCAGGAACAAGAGTATGACTCATACTCAGGTATGTTCTTGTCCTGTCTTTGCTTAGATGTCAGGCTCCAGATGTTATAAAATACCCTTGCTGACATCCAGCCACACTGTCACACTGAACTGGAACATCTGATTGAGGTCCTTGCCATGCTGAGCTCCCTCTGAAGTCAGAAAGAGGTATTGTTAGCATTCATGTTAGTTACCTGCTTAAAATAAGTTTGGCTGAGCTGTCATTACTGAATGCAGCCACTGCAATCTTTTTATTGTGAATTGTACCTCTGGTTTACCTTTTGCGGTATGCATACAGTGTATACTCTACCCTTATCAAACAGTGACTACCACAAAGCTATCCATATTTATCCACTTCTTGACTTATCACATCTATACTAGCATGCCATGCCAGTGATAGCAGCTTGCTTTCTTTGCTGAGAACTTTTTTGTTCTATTTTGGATCTGGAGAATTCCAATTGCACACCAACTCTGAAATACTTAAGACGACAAGGAGCTGGAAAGTCACAGACTTATCTGAGGTGTTGCATAAGGCTCTCACCTTTCACAATAGAAACATAAACCCAAAGACTTTAAGTTGATACAAGTTTTCTGTATCACGAGTTATCTGTTCACGAGTATCATTAGCTGAACAGACAGATAAGGGCTGGATGCAACAAAGTCTTTAGGCACCTAGGATTTGGATAATATACTGTCCCATACCATTGCTAAATGCATGCCGAGGGAGCCCCCTGGATTAAACAGGAGAGCAGCAGGATCAGTGCTCAGGGAGAGCAAGAAAACTGAGCAGCAGGTTGCTTGCAGCCAGCGACTCAGCTCTAGAGAGCTGGACCTGTAACACAGTGCTTTCCTGAGGACCAGCTCTCTGGACACTCATGAAGCAGAAGAGCAACTTTTTGCATACATTTTACATGACAACTTAGTGGCCAGGGTACCATCTGGGATGTCACCAGGAATTCTTGATTCTCCTTTTGGAGCGGAGCCATATGAAATACACAGTGTTTGGGGATAGTACAGAGAGCCTGCAGTATGTCCACAAAGGCAGGGAGAGGGGAGCTTCATGATCCCATTTATGCAGCAGAGATGGTGTTCCTGCCAGCTGTGCCAGATCGTGTCTGCACGAAGCTCAATGCAGCTTCTTCAGAGAAACTTGATTGGAATTAGATCTAGTTTAATCTAGATCTAGTTAAAATTGGTCCATCAGGGGTTTTTCTTGAAAGGTAACAAATGATATATGTCCCTGACATCCTTCCAGCAGTGAAACCATGAGTCAAATGATGGATCACAAAAAATTATATAGAGCACTAGTCTTAGAGATAACTATAGATCCTTTTTAAGTGTCTTCACAAAGTTTGCTACCAGCAATATTTGCCACAGTTCTCAACTATTTTGCAGAGTTTAAATCCCTTCTGTTAGTTACACAAGAACGTGTTGCGTTAATGTTAGGTGTCTGAGTCTCTAAATACACATTCAGGTATTTCTGAAAACTCTTCTGAGTATTAGATGTCTAGCTGGTGACACACAATGCAACTGGAGATATTTTAAGTAATAATTAAATTACTTCATTAACATGCAGCATAAATCATTCAGAGTCAACCCAATACATTACATTCTCCTATAAGAACAACATTTCTCTCAGACAGCACATCTTCAGGGAACAATTTTGAGCTATCCGTGAGGCTTCAGTGTGTCATGTCCTTCTGTGTGTTCAGTGTGTGCTCTTGGATGTTAAATGAGTATCTAGTCAGTCTTCCTACCCAATTTGCAGCTTACTAGTAGGTCTTCAGTAGTTCTTCCAGCCAAAGGGTCTTGCAGATGTGTCAGATGGTGTAATTTGGCTACTGAGCAACTTAGTGGCATGCCATGCTGTTCTACCTGCTGTTAAACTTGATGCTGGTGCTAAACTTGGTGCTAAAAAAAACCACTGCTTGGCACAAAACCTAGGGAATCAGAATAAAAGGGAATTCTTTTGTGGACCACACGTGCTGCTGTCAGAAGTACCTGACATTCAGTTCAACGGGGTACACCACTTACGTTCAGTTGCAAGTACTACAGATCTCAATTTCTTCCTCTCCTTTATATCAAGGTAAGTTTGTGTTGGGTTTTTTTTTCTGAAACACATGCCTATGCATTAATCTATTTTTCCACCCTATGCAGTGAAATGTTTTGACAGGAATTCTTGTCTATGTCAAATCCAGATGGTGTTCTCATTCCTGAGGGAAGCAGCCAGAAGGGTTAGGATTTCTTGTATCTTCTATTGCTGTGAATTACCCTAGCAAGAGCTAATGTTGCTCTCGGAGGGTATATTTCCAATTCTGGCTTCAGGAGGGAGCTCAAGCTTCCACATCCAGGCAAGCCCCTCAGTCTGAGAGCACCTCCACGGCCCTTTTCCTTTCTGAAACATCCCAGATTGAACATGTAGGACAGCAAAATATGCTTTAGAGCATTCCAGATGGGAAATCCACACTCAGCCTCTCTCTTGCAGCACCTTGAACACCTACATTCAGAGTGTCTTCAAAGCCAGCGATTTTTATTTTAAAAAGTTTTATATTTTTACTCTTAAATGGTTTGCAGCTCAGGAGCTTGCAGGTATATCTACAGTGCCTGCTTGTGGTCAGAATAGTTAAATTCACTATTTTTTTCTTTTTGTCTTTTCTGTCACAGCCTAAACATTGAGAAAGGATTTCCTACCCTCTTGTGGAGTCCACAGGCAAAAGCACCTTTAACAAAAAAGTCAACAATATCTTAAATTAAGACAGGAGTAAAAAAAAAAAAAGTTTGGGTTGCAGAAACAACAGCTGAAAACTTTGAGAAATAGATTTTTTTAATTTTGCAAGTTCTCTGTTGATTTTTACTTTACACCTTAATACTGTGGAGGACTTAAAAATATTTAGCATGAAGTTCCAAAACTAGTCCTTCAAGATTTAAATTAAAAATTTTTGGTTTAAAGGCATTAATTTTTCTATTAAAAATTAAAATATGTCAAAGAACTCAGACAAGTTCAGGCAAATTAATGCTCAACAGCCAGCATACATTTTCCAATTATAATGTTTTTTGACAAAAAAAAGACAACATTTTAATCATCTTCTATTAAAATTAAGTAAATGAAAGTAATTGTTGCAAGAAACTCCTGGCAAAGGGCTATATACAGTAGTAACAGTAACATATTAAAGTAATCAAATTATCTTCCCTATGGATGAGCTGCATGTCTACCTTCATGGCTGCAGCAGCAACAAGCATCAATGAAGCATTACAGAGAACACTGACATAGAAAAGGATGTGCAGTGTCTCAAAAGACAGCCATGAATCTTTTTATCTATATATAAACCAGGAACATTCTAGTTCTTCTTGTAAGAAAGGAGGAATGTTTTCACTTTCATTTTGAATTCCACATTTCCACCAAAATACAGAATGGAGAAAAAAGACCACTCAAAGCAGCTTTGGATTTTAATAAAGAAAGGATACCTAAACACACAGAAAAAAAAGCAATCTGGTAGTGCTTTGGGGTGCAGACTAGACCAAGATGAAGAGGCGGAGGAAGGGAGCCTTCTGAGGAAAGAAGGGATATAAAAACAAGCAAATATTTTTTTTTTCACTCTGATTTGGCACAGCCTTTTTTTGCTCCGCGCCAGCAAACAGAGGCTGCCACTGCAGCAGGTTGCAGACAATGCCAGATGGGAGGGAGGCTGCTGGCCTCAGTCACCAGTCCCCATCAGAATTGTCCCCCACCCTGTGTTTGGGATCCTGCCCTCAGACACTTTAATTTCAGAGCCTGTGCTGTGACTGAAGTGCACTGGCACTTCAGGTACCTGACATCAGCAGAGCTAAGAGCCAGATTTTGTTCCCTCATCCTTCAGATCAGATGTTGAGTGACAGAAGTGACTGTCACAGCACTTGTGACTGTCACATTTGTCTCCAGACCTGATGTAACACTGTAATCATGATGGTTTAAAAGCACTTCTGAAGACATAAAGATATGCTTTAAATAAATCAGAAGAGGCAAGGTTTGACTCAAAGGAAGTATTGTGTACTGAAAGACATCCTTTTCCCAAGAAAACTCTCCCCAACAGTTCTTGTTCTTCTATGTTTAAGTAATTTTGTTTTACCTGATTTTCTTCCCCAGGACTGACTGTGTTGCAATACTTTCGTGAATATCTCAAGTTGCCAAATCATGACTTCATGCAGCTCTGGAGCTCACAGCTGGTGTAATATTGGCTTGGCTTTGTTAAGATTTCAGTGCCTAGAAATGCAAGGCTTGGGCTTTGCCCCTGTGCATGGGTAGAACCATTCTGTCCAAAATGGGGGGAAATATGTCTGTGAGTGGTTTCATCCATCATCTCCAGATATCCGCTCTCTCACCAAGTTTCTGATTTACTTTGCGGTCAAAACTGACTTTTCCTCAGTGTTATGCTATGGCCCACGTCACAGCCAGCTCCATTAAATCATGCTGGTAGCTTGGGGCTCTCCTTCAAACTCTACACATCTTGTCATGCAGTTGTGTGTAGCACCTCACCTTCCTGTTGGAGTTTTCTCTCTTGATTGTAATTATACTATCTTTGACCAATTGCATTAGATCCCCAAAATTACATCCCTATGAAAGAAGTAATTTTCTTAGATGGCTCATGAATTTTATTCTTGTCACATTTAGCATGGTTTTCTCAGTGTTAAATACTAACTGGTTTGTTTAATTTTGGTTTGCTTTTTTTGTTGTTGTTGGTTCTTTGGTTGGTTTTGTTGTTCTTGACTGCTTTTCTCCAATAGTTGATATTTTTACCAGCTTCTCAGCACCTAAGGACTTGTGCAATGCTGCCTTCAGGATGGATTATTTCAGCTCTGCCTGCAGACCTATAATTTATGCTTTGTTTGATTCAAGAAAACCTTTGAAAATGGTCATTGCAGGTGCAATATTCAGATTGCTATTTTCAGGGTACTCTACTGCCTTCCTGTAAAAACTTGGATACGTAGTCATATTCATTATACATTAATTAGCAGCTCCTGGAATTACTTTCAGAAAACTTTGCAAATACTTATATATGTTCTTTTATTTTTTCAATATTTACATATACTGTCACATACAGTAGCAGGTAACCTATGAGTGTACTTACATACAGCAAAATATTACAATATCCCAAGAAATGTGCCATATTCTAGGAAATGACAACTGACAACACATACAGGATACATTATCCAGATTCTCTGCTGTGTGTACAGAGTCACAAGCTACATGGCCATGACACTGAAGAACCTCTGTGTCCAACAGCCAGTGGGAACGCTCATGTTTAAGTTGCATGAGGTAATTATTTAGATATCATTATCTGAAAATTAGCACCCTCGTCATCCCAATCTATTAACCAAACTTTCCAAATGAACCAGGAGATCAGAATGGAGCCAAAAATTTTTCCGGCTGAAAATATTCCATCATCTTTATCTACTCACAGGGCTCCAGACATGGCACTGGGAAACTAACCTCAGCCTGCTGTTATAAAGGTAATTTTTCATTCTGTAGCTGAAAAATTTTTTAAATGTGAGTTGATTTAGGGTATGATGGTGTGGTCTCTGAACAACTGCCTGTTTCTCCATGTGCTGCACTGCACTGCTTATGAAAATTAGTTATCGTCTAGGGAGGTGGGTACATTCCCTCAGAGGAATTAAAAGTTAGATATTTTAAAAGGTAGTAAATCAAATCAAAATAAAAAATCCTATCATGTTTGTCAAAGGTTGCATGGTCAAAACTTCAATTCTGTCTTCCCAGTGGTTACTGCACAGTCAGGAAAGTGGTTACTTTCCCACAGGCAGGACACCAAAGTGATAGTTGGGTGCTACCAGGCAGCTCCTCTAGTGTGTAGAAGGAAGATGATCCTATTTGGTGATGCAGGACATTTCAGTGCATCTGGCTTTTCTAATATTATGGGCTGATAATTTTTTTTATCAGCCCATAATAATAGTGATAGTGATTTTTATTTCTTTTTGTGACAATTTAGCAGAAATCAATATCTCATTCAAGTAACAGTACCAGTAGTGAAACATTGTCCAGTAAGGGAGGAATAAAATGTGTTTTCTACAGAGTTTGAAAGTGATGTTTGATATCCATGGAGCAGCTGTGGACCAGAGCATTATCTCTAATCTTGCAGATCCCACACTGGACAAGCAAGAAAGGAATTGTGGGCAATTATATTGGCCATTTCTGCTTTCTTTGGTGGAAATAGCAGGGACTGAGTAGTATCTGTGCAGCCTGGGATCTGTGGTCTGGCTGCAGGTCAGTGATGCACAGGTGCCTGGAACAAGCAGAAGATGTGTTAAATGTAGGTGTTGAGGAGATCTACTTCAACCTGCCATGCGCTCACCTTGCCCCTTGCCTAGGGCAGTTCAGCCACTTCTGCCCGCTTTGTGCCACTAAATAATTGCTGAGTGTAAAAAGGCAGCTTTGCGTGGGTCATTTGATGCTTTCCACAGGTTGAACTACTTGGTGGCTTGTATTTAGGTATTATTTCTTCATTCATTTTGTTCTGCCAGGGCTGTGAAACACAACACATTACATTTCCCCCTCCCCTTCTTTTCTACCAGCTTAAAATAACTTAAGTTTCTAATATTTCTTCTAAGATAGGAATTAACAGGTCCTGTTAACACATTGCTTGTTTTGGTTAGATTATTCCCAGCTGACTTTTGGTTTCCTCACTTTAAACAACAGCAAAGTGGATTGGGAGCTCTGGGGAAGGACTGTATTGGTTGTCACTGCAGAACTCTTTCGCAGTCTTGGGATTACTTTTAACACCCGTTATTAATTAACTCTTCTGCAGGGAACTATTGAACCAGAGGATGTCACATTTGACTATTCAACTTTTTTTCTGTGTGTATTTTGATGTTTTCTGTCACATCTTTTGCAATTCCTCTGCTTCATCACTAAACACTAAGTTCACTACAAACTGCACTTTGGGGCCAAAGGGCTTAATCAGAAAAAAATTTGGACAGAAAAAAGTGATGAGAGAGAATGTTCTGAAGATGAGGAACTATTGGGATTTTTCACTTTATTATGGGATTAATAATTGCAAATTTGTCATAATAGAAAAAAATGAGACAATAAAAGGATAATAAGATCAATAAATTGAAAGAAAAACATTTCAGTTTGCATTAGGACAATCCTAGATTGAAATAAATATATGAGTTGTTAATTTCAAAGATAACAGAAAAAATATCTGAATTTATTCTTTTTATCAATTTTCTGAACTAAATCATCCTTTTTTAATTTTTCTCTAATCCGTCAGCTGAGTAATTTGGACACAGATGCTACAGATGGGGATGCCAGTGAGTTCTTTTCGCTCCATATTCACTTCCACTTTTAACATGGTTTAAGTTGCCACAGCTAACTTACAGAGGTATTGCTTCTAAAACTGATCATATAGGTGTGTCCTATATAAGTACTTGAATGGATAGAACACAGACCAATGCAATTAAAAGCAGGGAAACATAAAAGCGGAAGTTAAATAAAAGTAGGATGCAGCAGGTAGAAGAATTTCTTGTGAGTGCTTTGGACTAGAATTTCCCATAGTTACAAAGCTTAGGGTCAAATGTTGCTTTTTGTGTAAGAAATATGAAGAAAAAATACATACCACACGCTATGGAGACCCCCTGTCTCAGAGGTGGGGTGTGCTACACTTAGCAGGATTTTAAACAGGACGGAGTGAATATTTACTCTCCAAACTTTCCCGCCACTCTTCAGTAATGATAAAACACTCACATACAATACAGTAACTTCTTCAGAGATGATCACTTCTCACTACTACAAGAGAGGGCAAAAGCCTGCCCTATGGGCTATATGGCTGTAATACAAGTGATGGAAGATTTGGGATTTGGGCACGCTAGCTCTGTATAGGTCATTTTAGTAGCCTACAGCCTTCTCATACTATTATATTCTATTTAAAGATCCCAGTCTGACTCTTTTGGAAGCTGTGAGGAAAAAATGCACAGCAAAGGGGCACTGATGATGGCCCTTTTAGAAAATCAATAATCCTTTGAAACTGTCTTGTTCTATTTTAAGGAACTCAGACTCAGAGGTTACTTAGAGATATTTAGATCTTAAAAGTTATGTGCAGGAGTTTTAATAAAAAAGACATTGGCTATGCATGACTTCACTGCAGATTGAACCATATCAGATAGCACTCTTATCCTGTTTTTCTGTATGTTTTCCTGTGGATTACTGGGCTGCATAGTACATTCAATGAAACTTCAGTTTGAGACTGTATCCACCAGTTTTGTCTGAAGAAGGGAGGGTAAAGACAAGGAACATCTTGAGTATGATGAGCATTTTTTAATTTTGTGGTTGCATTCTTAACGTTATAAGTTAATACATATTAAAAAGCTCTTCCTGTTCCAAAGCATATGGATGTAAATTGTCCTTAATTGAGCCTTTTCTTAATCGTGAACTGATCTCTTTTTTCATGACCAGATGAGAAGAGAGAGGAAAAAATACAAAGTGAATCCAACAAATAATGCATGCAGAGCTGGAGTCTGGGGTTGGGGGAAGGGGGGCAGTGGGATCTGGGCAGGCTGACATCAGCAAGTCAGGATGATAAACAACATGAGTAGGAGTATTGCGTCTCAGCTACACATAGAGGCATCCAAGAACAAAAGGAAAGCAGCAAAGACTCTTTGGGTAGATGTAAAGTCCATCTTTTGTGTTGGTTGCCCTTTTCTATTGACACCATCGCAGACAGACTTCTGGATTTCATTACTCCTCCAGCTCTGTTTGGTCCTAATTTGATTTGCTTACTTCAGTTCGGTCTGCAATCCTGCATATTGTGCATCTATGTATTTTCCTACCATTGGTTCAGGAAAGCTGTGAAACTTGTCTTAACGTGTTGGATCTTTCTTAAAATCTTTGTTCAGCAGCAAGCTGCATGGTAAAATTTTGTACTATTTATAAGGGAGTTATTTTCTACCTCACTATTACGAGCATTTTATTAGGAAAAAAAAATTATAGTAACTCTATACAAAATTAACAAGCATACAAATAAAATTCTAATAATTAGACCTTTTTTTTCAGTTAATGTTGTGTAAACCTATCGTTAGGTTTTGATGCCTTAAGGTCCTTTTAGTTTTTTGATTTTTCTAATTTTTATAAGTTTTATAAGTAGTTATATAGTAGAAGTAGATTTAGAAGCAGCAGCATTTCATTCCTTTACCCTTAACACAGAAGCTACATAGATTACCAACCCTCTAATCCCATTCTATGCTCCCCATATCAATTCTACCCCTGAATTCCATCAGGACATGTTTAGTCTCACTCTAAGATAGGCCTGTTCTGTTTGGAGAATGCTTGTATTTTAGCCTAAACCGCAGAACACAGTCAGAAACTGGGTAACCGTGTACCCTTTGTGCTCTGAAGAAGATGAAGATTGATAAAGAGGTGATCTCAAAAGACCCCAGCCCCAATTCCCAAGAGGCAGATCAAGGGTGGTCCAGGGCAAAAGTCAGAGGGTGAAAAAATCTCGGATTGGACAGGCAGTATTATAAATTGTAACATCTGTAACAGCGTGGGGTGTGCATCTTGTAACTTTGTGCCTAGGCACAAATTAAATCCTTTCCTTATCTTACCTTAAAAACTAAATTGTCTCAGAGTTTTTTTCTCCCTGAATTTTCTTTTTAGGCAACAGTTTGAAAGTTGTTAAAATCTTTAATGCCTCTTAAAAAAACTAATTCTGTTGCATAGTCATCTGTATATTTTCTGAGTGACAAACACTAGAAAAACAAACAGCTATAGTAAGCATGCAGCTAAGAGCAAGAGACTAGCAGATGCCCTACAGCTTACTAAAAAGAGTGGTCAGTTTTTCACTACATGCAGCAGGCAATTGGATCAGGCCCTACATGTGTAAGAAGCAGACAAAGCAATTGCACAGTAGATATTCTGTAGGAAATCAGTGAAATACAGTGATTGTTGTAGAAGCTATATATTTTGATATATGCAATAAACTAATGGTAAAACTCTTTTTCCTCTGTTTTATCTTATCGTTATGTTTTTGTACAGCAAGAACAGTTTCTTTTGCTAGTACAAAATTAGCTACATCTGTGGGACATTGTAACTTGTTCAGACACGTGCTTATTTCAAATCCTTTGTGGTTTTGTCCTTAATGTTAAGACCCTGGTCAGAGAAAATATTGGTATTCAAAATAATTAAAGCTAAAACATATAACTGGAGGAAGGAGAAGAGAAGGAGAGCTTAAATTATATTTTTGGGGATGTCCTGAATACATAGTGATCATAAAATGTTGGTCATCTTAAACTGTGACATTTATGAAGTCTTATGCCTGGAGGTGGAGTGTAATTCAATCTCACTTCATTCTCCCACTGTCTGATGTACCTCCAGTTTGCTATATTCATTGTTTCTTTGAACATAAGCCAAAGCTGCTTCTACTGTTCCTCTGTCTACTCATGCTGTAGCATGAAGGTAAAAACCTGATCCCCTACTGCATGCAGCTGTAGATTTTCTGTAAAAAGGGTACCAAACCCAAGGCATCAGGCTAAGGACTGAACAGCAGAATAGGATTCTTATAAAAGTTCAGGTGCCAAATTACCACAGAAACATATAGGAAAGCTGTGGTACATGCTGGAAGACCTAGACTGTGGGATGAGTTTTGAGATTAAGACTCTTAAATTTAATATGTACAGGTAGGTGTTTATAATTATGGTAATTGTCTAAGTCCTGATTACAACTACAGCTGGAATGGCTGTTTAAGCTCAGGTTGTAGTCAGTGGGTATTCAAAGGATATGAATCATTTGCCTAATGCCACCTAAGGTGTCGTAGGGAACTTGAGATATCTACACAGAGAGTACCAATGAAGCAGTAGCTGAGAGCAAGGTGGGACCCATCTGGGCATCTTAAATGGTACTAGATGCTTATCTGTGGGGTACATAACAGATTTTTGACATTTAGCCATGTAGAAATCTCCAAGTCTCAAACTGAGTCTATCCTAGTGACATCTTAACATCTTCCATTGACACCTTCTGCTCTGAACTCACTGCAGACAAATCCATAGAGAAAGGGAACATCCACTGAGTTTCTAGTTGTTTTTTGAGATATTTTCTACCAGTCCTCAACTGATCACAGAGGGTATATGCCATGAACGCATTCAGTTGCCCCCCTTTATTTTTTGAGTCCCACTGCATAATCTGTCTTTGCTGTTTTCTTTTCTTCAATGGAGGTGGACGAACCTTGTTCCTGCAATGGGTGACCACTGTCTATGCTGCTATATAAGAACTATGCCATAACATCTTGTGACTGTTTCTAGATCTCCTTTTTGGCTAAATAACAGGGCAAATAATGGAGAGGGAAAAGCAGAACCCCGAGTACTGATGTGTACAGTCACAATGGGAGAACATAAAAGGAAAAGCTGCTAAAATTCTGGGAGTAGCCAAGTTTGCTTTCCTAATTTTCTGACACTGCATTTTGCAAATATTCTTAAACAACGTTTACCTCATCTTTGTAACTTGCCTTGTCCCCTTATCTTTGATGTCTGTTTCATTTACCTAGCCAAATTCTGTCAAGATCCCTTTGTGTGTTTTTTTTTTTTTTTTTTTTATTCCATATTGTTTCAAAAAGCAATGAAAGTAATTATGAGTTGAAAATTAGGAGTAGGAGGAAGATTATGAGGACCTGTAAAGTGAAAAATATTAATTGCTCAACAATGACCTCACTTTCCAAATGAAGACCTATTGGATTCCAACAGAGCTAGGTGCTGACCTTAACGTCCATATATTCTCTTACTTTTAATATTTTTCTTCTCTAGATTAGTATTTCTTTATCTGCATAAAATATTGCCATTTAATTTTATACACTATGTAAATGTTTATTATTTCAAAATGATCTGGCTGAAGTTAGAGGGATTATGTATTTGCAGGTACTACTTAAAGACTGGGCTTTGAAATAATAATGTCAGCTCATTTCACTAATGCCTATAAAAGTATAATATGTCTTTGAAAAGTAAACAGAAAAGCAAAGAAATATTTGAAAATAAGTTGCTAGTAAACTTTTTTTTGAGGGGGGAAACATTACCCATAGCAGGAACAGAATGTTTCTCTGTTTATGTAAAACATGCTACTATGTTAATTACTGCTACTGGAAAGCAAGTACCAACCTAAATAACACGCAAATTGTCATTCCTTTTTTTTTTTTTTTTTTTAATAGGTTTTACAGGCCATTCTGCAATATAATGAACCCATAAAATTGTTCAGGCTAGAAAACCATCATCCATCATAATTACGTACCGCATTAGGTGTATTAGGAACCTAATCTCATTTCAGAGTCTGGAGTGGATGCTTTTATTAAATTACCAAACAGAGATGATGACAATAAGAGGAATTGTTGCTGATGGTGGAATGCATCAGTAACAACCACCTGGGAAGCTCTGCCAGACGGTTTGACATCAGTACCAAATACTGGCAACATTGCTTTTCCTATCTAAAGCTAAAAGTGTGCAAGTGAAATGTGATGGCAGAGAATGAAATTGGCCCATAAGGTAAATTACAAATGACTTGCGCACTTGCTCACACCTTGAAAAGAGGACACTCATCAGGAATATGAGGCCAGGGTTGGGCTGCTTCCCCTTCATATCATCACGCATCATGCAGGCACGGAAATGAGTGCCTTATTTCTGCATCACTGGTGGCCCCAATGCTTGTGCCACCCACGCTGCTGGGCCTGTGTGTCTGCTGGTTTGGGGCCAGGGCAGGAGAAGGAGGTGGGAGGCAGGAATACAGTCAGGAAGGTGGGGCAGATCTGGGTACTGGGATAGGAGGAAGGTGTGCTCTTTCACAATCACACCATGCTGGTGTGGCTTAACTTCTAGCTCTTTCAGACATTGTATACCATACTGTGCATGGATTCTCAAACAGCACGTGATTGAAGTGACATGCCTTTCTTTTCAGTTTTACACACAATTAGTAGAATATAATTGGCAGATACTCTGCCCTTCAGTCATTAAATATCCGGAGCACCCTCCGTGGTGACTATGCATAGTAAGGTCTCAGCATTTTCCCCTTTTTTTCCCCAGAGCTTTCCCCATTTCATTTAATTGTTTGAAATTTGATCATGCTCCATGAGAAACAGGAAACATAAATGCATACATGATTCTGAACTCAATCCCCAGGTAATGCTTGTGTGGGAAGTCTAGAGAGAAGCCAATGAAATGCATTTAGAGACAAAATGGTGTAGCAGCACTCCCTTTCAGGAACTCTGATGATAACACTTAGAGACAGCTTCTTCACAAGGCCTGTCAATACACTATTGCTAGCAGAAGAAATTGAAGGAATTTTCCTGTTTTATTTAGAAATGTGAAACAAGGCATGTTCTCCCAGTCAATGGTTTTCCTATAGGAGTTAACAAAAATCTTCTGAGGGCGTACCATGTTCTTAGCAGTATCTGATCAATGGTCTAGGAACTTTCATAATTATTTTATTATTATATTAAAAAGCTATTTAAGTATTTTTACAGTACAAATAACATTTCAATGAAAAGTTTGTTTTATAATCCATCTTTCCCTCCCAGGTTGTAACATCATTGCTGTAATTGGTTGCTTTAAATAATCATATCACAAAGATTTTTACTTATTTAATAATAAAAAGTGGATGCTGATGATAAGTGAGCTAACTGCAGGTGAGGACCAGCATTTTCTTCATAAAACACCCAGCATTGCTAGGAAAGCATTTGGATACCTCCTTTCTATAGAATGTGAATGAACATTGATCAGTAATGACTGTGTATTACTTCCAAGCCTAAAAAAAATACCCAAGTGGTGATCCGTAGATAAAGTATTCTCACTGATGAGGGGTCACTTTAGAATAGGACATACGTTTTTGAAATCATATATAAAAGATGTACTATTCTCTGGAAAAAAGCTGACAGTGATCTCAGCTGAAGTTTTATAAAACAAGAGTGATTGGGCTCAATCAATGAAGTTTTATGACAAACATTTAGGATAATAACCAAGATGAGGCCTTAATTTGGAAGGGACTTGCATTATACTCTCATTAGTGCACCATCTAGTGGGATCATCTTGGATCAGCTTCGGTATGTCAACAGCATGGGGAAAACACCTGTCCAGATAGTAATGCTAAAATCATTGCTAATAACCTATTAAAAGTAGATTGACCATGTATACAGCACTCCTGCAACAAAAAGGTATATCAGAATGTTTTTTCCCCTAGTAACTTTAATTCATGAAAGTGAGAAAATGACATTTCCAAGCATCAGTTAACATAAGAACTATTTGTAGGCATCCGAGTCTTGCAGGTTAGGTTGTCTCTCCTTTCAGCATGCTTGCAGACCCATTGAGAACCATGTAAAGGGTAGTCTTGTTTTTTCAGATCTTTAACTTTGCTCCATTGTGTTGGTAGTTTAATGGACTTTTCTATTATTATTTGATTAGGATGCCTATTAAGTTTTCACTGCTCCAGCTATTTCTAAATCTTAGCAATCACCAAGATCTATGATGAAGCAGAAACAAACTTGCACTTTTCAAATTCTGCAGCTCTTCCCTAGGTGAGGCTAGGCCCTGCAGAGGTGGCAGCATTCCCAGCAACCGGGTGCTGTGGGATGTTTGCTGTGTATTTAATGTGCACGGGGATACACTCCAGATGAAGCAGCCCAGCCCCGGGGTTCTAGGAAGCATTTGGCCCTGACATTTTCGCTTTGAAGAAGTGGGGAGCATGAGGAAGCGCCTCAGCTGCCGTGCAGGTTGAGGTGAGCCTCGGGGCTCACCTGTCTCTCCTGCTCAGGCGGCTGGGTCAGGAGGAGCCCTGGTGCCGGGGCTACTGCCCTCACAGCCACGCGCGGCCTCCTCCTCCTCCTCATCCTCCTCATCCTCCCGAGCCCAGTCCTGGCAGCCGTGTGAACGCCCCCTTCTTTCCTCGTGTTCCTGGCATCACTTGCCCCCTCTCTCAGCTGTATATCATGTACCTCTGCATTTAAAGGCACCTTTAAATAGATCTACAGTTTCCCACTCACTTTCTTTGAAGTGTCCATTCCCATTTGGAGAAGAAATGACCCAAGCTGAAGGCGGAGCTGCAAAGCAGGGTCTTAACGAAGCAACTTCGTATTTTTCTCTGCAATATCGTTTCCTTGTTCATGTTTACCCCTACTTCCGGATGCAACAGTATCTATTCCCTACATTACACTCTCCCCACTCCCTATCCCCATTTTTTCCACTCGCACAGGGCTGCCCCTCTCCCCCCGGACGCCCCCGGGCCCTGCAGCAGCGGGGTCCCCTCGGAGGCCCGAGCGGTGCCACGCCCGCTCCTGCCCCGGCCCGCCCTGCTCTGGCACCGGCCGGGCAGGGCCGTACCTCCCTTCGCCGTCACGGCGGGGCGGGCCGGGCCGGGCCGGGTCCTTCCCGCCCCTCCACGCCCTGCAGCCGCCACCGCCCCCGCCGCGCCCCTGCGAGCGGGTTCGCCGGGGCCGGGTAAGAGCAGCCGGAGCCCCTCAGGGGTGCGGGGGGTGTTGGCTGTCCCCCCTCCCGCCGGGGATAGGGGTGACCAGGGCGGTGTCCAGCCAACCGGGAAGGGGCTGCCAGGCACGGGGAGCCCGTGAGAGGGCGGCGGGAAGGGCCGCAGCGCCCCGCGGGCCCTCGCTGGGTTCGGGGCCGCCCCCCTGTGCCCGGCCCTGGGGCGAGCGGGGCGGCTGCGGGCGGGACTGGGGTGACGGGGGTGGCGGGGCCGGGGCCTCGGCGGGGGCAGTGTTGGAGCGCAGTGGGTCGTGACAGCACCAGCCCCTTTCCCCTGCACCCTCCCGGGACACCCCCGGTACCGAGGCTTTGGACTGGGCGCTGGCCGCGATGCTCTGAGAAGGGAGTTGGGGCCTACAGCGGGTGTTTTACAGCAGTTTGTGTGGAACTGTAGGGTAGGACGCGCCTCCGCCGTGTGGAAGCGCTCCCCGTGCTGTTCCAGGTCCGAGGTGAGCATGTCAGCGGGAGGAAGGGAGATTATAAAAGTCACCGATGTAAATACCGACCCCGGGCCTGGCGCGCCGGGCCCCTGGGCCGATGTTATCGCTACTTTCCTGGTGAATCACTCTCCGCTGCATCAGGGATGGGCACTTCTGCAAACTCTGCAATTAAATGGAAGGTTTCGCTCCACTTTCCGTGCAATGCAAGGCACTGCATCTTAAATTGAAGAAGCCCAGTGATACAATCGCAGGAATACTTTGCCAGAAGCAATGTGCTCATGTGCTGTGACCCCCTCCACTGACGAACAAGCCTTGCAAAGGCAGAGGGCTGTGCCACGGGGCGAGAGGAGCGCTCCTGACGCGTTATTATCCAGTCTTGTGCTTTGCCGGCAGTGCAGCCCTTCTGCTCGGAGCTTGCAGTTTGTGCAAATACTGTTAACAGAAAAGAAAGGGGACAAAAAAAAAAAGTTAAAATATCTTAAAATTAGAAGAAAGTTATGCTAAATGGTGGCGTTGTTATAAACTGTGTTTGTGTTCCCTTCATGAAGATGTCTTTTGTAGTCTTATGGCAGAATATTAAGTGGCACTCTTCTTGGTGACTTACACTGAAGTGAAACTCTTGGGGGAGGAGAAAAAAAGAGACCATGAGCTATATGTAGTTATTAGCATCCTGGTGGGCCTCAGAGAGACTCGACATCCATTGCAGTGAGATTTTGTGCAAAAGTAACTTCTCACTTGGTGCGCTTGATCTGAGCACTTGGTTCAATGTGAACAAACTACCATTAGGGAGATCTGTGTTAGAATATCTAGCATGCCAGGTGTGCTGTGCTTCTAATCCATCTTCATTTTCACATGAAATGTTTGTCTGTCAGTAGCACAAGAAACTAGGCACTTTGAAACGGTCATTTCAGGTCCATTTTCAGACCTCCTGTTCCCTATCTTCCCCAATAGTTCCAGTCCCTAGTGTTCATTTTCCTATTCCTGCTTCATCATCAGGCCTTTAAACACTTTGTGCACTCCTAGGAAACGTAATTCTCTTAAGGCATTTTACCAAGAACTAAAATGTTCTTTTAGGCTTGTGAAAGCATGTGATTCTTACCTACTTCATTATAAATATCAGTGTGGATGAATCAGACAATTACAAACATTTTATTTTTTTTATCTGTGTATGCTAAGCATTGGTGATGCATTAGGCCTAGTAGTATTTTAGGCTTCTGTAATTTAGTTTTTCATGCTGGGCAGTTTAAACGCCACTGCTTTAAATTGCATCTTTGTTCAATGGAATCTTTTCTAGGAAAAATGACTAAAACACTGACCAGTGGCACAATCTAATAATTCTTTCCAGGAAAAAAAAAAAAAGAAAGAAAAAAAAAAGAAAAAAAAAAGAAGTATTTATAGCTGTTAGACAATGTAAACTTGGTTTTGTTAGGTTCCAGCATCACTAGTGTTGCAAGGCTGAGGGAATTGGGCAGAGTGGATAGAAAATTATCTTTTGACATCTTTTATGTTAGTGTTGCTGCAGGAGACATAAAGTTTTAAATGAAATTTTTCCTTCCCTATATGGATTTAAGTTTGACTTCACCTGAAACTAGATCACAAAAAAAAAAAAATATCTGAAAACTTTTCTTTTAAGAAGACTGGAAGGATTTAATTTTGTTTGCATGTTTATTATGCTCCACAGTTGTTTTTTTTATTATGGGAGCCTACAGCCTGCCTTTGTGGACCAAGATTTCAGTACGTTAAGAGCTGTAAAAACACATAGTGGAAAATATGATATCTGTCTCATAAATATTTTAGCTTAAGTTTAAAGAAAAAAGAGATAAGTCCAGAAAAAAACTCCGACCTCCCTCATCCCCACTAGAGAAAATAGTGACAGATTTAATGCTCACCTGTATCTCACTAAGTCAGTTGCTATGAGTGAGTTATGAGAATCCCTGAGGTGCTGTAGCAAGACATCCTTATATTTTCTGTAGCTAACATTGTGACTGGCTGAAATTTTTGCTGAAGTCTTTCAGCAGTTCATCACTTTTACTTGTGTTTTCACCCTGCTTGAAGGATTTTAAACTTTTTTTTTTTTTTTGTGAGGGGGAAGCAGTTTACAAGGGAAGTCTTATTGTTGGCAAGAAGCTTTGTTACTGTGACCTTTATTTAGGAAAAAAAAAAATCACATAAAGAAAGCCCCATGACTTGTCTCTGGATAATTAAGGGCATAAAATCAGATGTAAATTCAGATCAGATTTAAATTTCCAAGTGTTCTATGGAATGTAGCATGTATTTTTTTTTTGCTTTCTGAAAGTTAAGGTTCCATGTAATCATTTCTAGGTCCTGATGCTGAAACATTCCTCAAACAGTAAAGCTATTGCTTAAGGGTTCTTATCCTAATGTGTATGGTCTAGATTTATGGGAGAAGGAAGACTTTTAGAATATCTAAATGAGAAAATACAAGATAAATTAGGTACTTAACTGTAGCTGACTGGAGCCTTGAAGATATTTAGGTGACTGCTGTGAGATCTGACACATCATATCCTTTTGTCCTGATGGAGCTTTCAAGAATGACACTGGGGAGCTGCTTGGTTTTGGAGTTCCCAGTTTCTTGTCTCTGCATTCATAACCTATGGAAAAATGGATCTTTTCCCATGCCTGACAAACACCTTTCTAGAAAATATGTTGATACTAAGGTTCATTTTTGCTCTGGTATAGAGTGACAGTGGAGGAACCAGTTAGTGCAAAAATTATGAAAAATATGTAGAAGTCCTTTGAATTCTTTAAACCTCAGATATGTGCAGCGAGGTCCTGCTTCAGGGAGTGTTGATGAAATGTCCTGAGTTTTCATTTCATTTGTGACAGTGGACTCGGTTCCTTTGACTTTCTTCAGTAGCTTGGCAAGCTGAGTTGCCACTAGGTATACTCCCAAAGACAGAGATACTGAGCGGAACATAAAAGGTACAATCAGAAGCTCACACCTGACTGAAACTTTTAGGGGAACTGAAGACTGCCATAGATGGAGCTCTGTTCCAGTTTGAACACAAACTGTAATTTCCTCAACTGCAGCAGATTTTTAACTTCCCCAATTTATAAGTTATGCAGCCAGTAATGCCAAAATATATCACAACAGAGCAGTTAAATGCTGTGGAAGTGAAAAGGAGTAATTTCTATGGAAATTCAGAATCTTGATGAATGCTTCTATCCCCTTGGATGGAAGGAAATGCTTGGTGCATGCCTGGTTTGTTTCCTGGTGTTGAAACCCTGACTTTGTCTGGGTCAAAGACATTAGCAAAAACACCAGTTGACTTCCCGAGAGCCTATCTATCTGTGTTTTCAGAGGAGTTTGAGTAACTTAACACTAACAGGTGAAGGGTGTGTGGGTTGAAATAGGGTGTTTGTTCAGTTCAGATGCCCATGTTGCTGTGAAAACTAGAAGGCTAAAGTGTGGTGAAGACTGAGAGGTGATGAGAGCTGATGGCTGACCCCTTACATCTCTTTCTGTCTGTTCCCCAGGCCAGTAGCTTGCTCTGTCACCAACCTGTGTTATTAGAATACTCATCAATAGCATTGCTAGTGGAAGAATCTGCATGGAGTAAACCAGCTGTGAATTTACATTGCTATCCTACAAATTTACTATAAATCTCGGTTCAGGTATGTGAGCTGATACAAAGAATTGTATCAACAATCAGAGAGATCTACATTTGCAGATGAAAAGCTGAACTGTATCCTGTGGACTTTGCAATCTATCATCTGAACATCCTCTCATTATGTGTTGTGTTTGGCTGCCTATGTAGCTAGAAAGTTGAAAAATTCAGTCTTATGTATTGTACAATCTGTACATTTGTCAGTATAGTGCAGTGTAACTTGTTTAAAGATACTTATGGTTAGCTGTAGAAGTTTGCAAGACAATGAAAAGCAGTCACTGCTTTTGTCAAGAATTGGATGAAATAGTCAGTGTATATCTCTTGATTGTAATGATGCTCCTGAGAACAGTGTTACAGGAGCTGTTCGTGAATACAAATATGAAAGAAGAAAAAACAATC